AATACAGAAGTGCAATTGACCAACTTTTGAAACTGAAGACACTTGGATGATTTTGTATGTTTTTTGAAGCAGTTTTTATCCACAGTAATGTGTCTAGATTGACCTGAGCTGACATTAGATACCCGGCCTAAATTATTATCCCAGTCCACCCCTGGCTGTACAGCAGGTGCTCCGTCTGTACCTTGTAATTATTTAATATCTACTGGGTAAGTAAAAAAGTTGGCTTACAGTGTTAATGGTAATTCTAAGTCCCCCACCCCCAGAGTGTAAATTTGTTTCATCTAAAGTGTTTTTTTGTTTATCAAAATGTGATTTTTGATGTCTTTATTTGTGTGCGAGTGTATGTGTGTGTGTGTGTGTGTGAGTATGAGCGTGTAAATCTTGGACACTTGAACATTAGAAACTTGATGTCACTGCTGTGTGTGAATAATTGATTGCTTGAGCGTGAAAGAGGCACCGATATGAAACTGCACAGCTTGCATGTTTGGGCCTTTCCAAACCCTTTCTCCTTCAATAAGCTACATTTTCTGTAGGTCAGGTACATTTTCAGAAATGAATTCAGCAAAAAATGTCAAAGAGTACCTGTGCTTTCACGAAGCGCACACATGATAAATTGCTGCACAAAAGACTGCACTGAAATGACAGAATTTAATCTTCGCTGGCATTTGGTTGGAAAAATGTTTCTGTGGTAGATTTCTTCAGTATCGCTCTGATTTGTGTCACTTTAAGCAGCTATCTATATGAGGAAAAACACTCCCCACTGTCTTCTTGAATACATCCATTGTTAAAGCTGGCGGAGACGCTGTTATCTTGCTGCCAGATGGTGGAAGATCAGCCTTGATAGTCTACTCCTAGATAGTATGACAGGACTTCTTTGTGGAGACCATTCGCTGTTGTTGCACTTTGTTCCACTATATCATACTCCACTGTCATACTCCTCTCTGCAGAAAAAAATTGCCTGTTGTGACTGATATACTATTATACACAACATTATTAGATTGTTAATCCTGCTGCTGCAGTGTGTAAGTAACATTTTACTCTTGTAGCTGCTCGAGGTGGACGTAGTTATAACTGGATATATATAGATTATTTTAGTGATATATTCATTTTCCCCTGAAGTTGTAGAGAAGTAGAGGTGTAAATTAGCAGAAAGTAGTACCTGAGTACACTAGTGGAGTAAATGTGCTTAGTTACCCTCCAACACTGTGTATTTCACAGCGTCTGAAAACAACATGATGATGGATTACTGGTATTTCTACCAAATGCAAGGAGTTCAGATTTGTGTATTCTTTTGTGCCACCTAGTGGTGCACCCCTGAAGCACTGGAGCAGTCTTTGCCTTCATTCATCACCTCTACCTGCTTTCTTTTATTTTTAGATTTTGGTGGGGGCGTAGCAGTCGGTTGGCTGCGGGAGAAAGCTGTGGACAGGTCAGCAGTCCCTCACAGGGCTAATACAGACTGACAGACAATCATTCACACTCATGCTTGTATATCTGCTGGCAGTTTTTTTTTCAGTCTCAGCTCCTGACCTGCGTGTCTCTGGACTGAGGGAGGAAACACCCAGGAGAGCATGGTGAGAAAATGCAATGCCCTCTGAGAAAAGGCGACAGCAGGGAATCAGACCTGTGACTCTCAATGTCAAAAAATGTCAGTTTGTATACATTTTTACCAACCTAGACCTTAATGTAAGATCAGTAGACTAAAGGGGGAATCTATTGTAATAATTACAAACGGGACAGGCCTTGTATAATGATCTAAAATCACATTTTTATTACACACTGAGGTGATTGGCGCTCTTATTTCCAGTCTCAGTTTCTGACAGTATCAGCTCTATCTTTGGTGGCTCTGGTGGCTGCATCTTCATCTAGTTTAAAGAACAACTTTATCGTTACATTGTGTAGGCTAACAGTGGTGGAAGAAGTGCCAATTCAACAGTCAACAAGTGACCTCTGTCAATAACATAACATATATAACATAAGACATGAGGTGCAATGACAAATAACCAATACAGTAAAAGATACAGAGAAGCACCTTGTGTCACTCCTTAACTCTCATCTACTCCATCCCCCGTGACTCTTTCACTAAATTCCACAGTACATGCAGGAGATTTCAAAACTGCAAATTGTAGAGTGAATAAAGAAGCAAAAATAAGACTGACATAAGAAGAGTTATATCATAGCTCTAGCTGTGTTGAGTTCCTCCTTTCTAGCCTTGATTATAACCTGGCCTGCCCTGTTCACCCTGGCAACAGAGAGCTGATAAAATCTCTATCCAAGAGAGATTCTACTGATGAATAGAAAGAATGTACTGTCTATGACTATAGTGTTAGTGTCTCAGAGAGACATTTTGTTCCTAAAAACTTCTAACTGATGGACACTCCCACATTATACAGTACAAAAATCTAATTAAATCACATAGAGTACAGTCTGGAGAAACAGTTATATTCATCATAACATAAGTTTAATAAGTAATAATTTGATGTATGAAGGTCAGGTTTGTGAATTTATGATTTAGGTTTTGTTAAGAACGAGATTCATTCATCTTCATTCCTCCAAACTCTGGCCCAGTCTATAAATGATCCATTACAGGATGAGTAATAATATGCCTTTCACTGAAAATACTTACAGCCTGTACAGTAGAATGTGATTGTAAATATAGAAAAAAAGAGTCGAAGGACAAATTGTATGTTTTCCTCAGATCCTGAAAGCATCTTAAACCCATATCATTCATAATGTCTCTTAAGCTGTATCCCTGAACTACTGAATTATTACCATTGAGGAGAGTTAAAGTAGGCTATTGTCCTCCAGAATTGATAACTGTTAAAAAATATTAATTTTTTTATCAAGCCAATTGGATATCCAATTAAATATCTATTTTCTGTATATTAAGCATTACATAGGCTGATATTTGACTGTATTTAAGTTTGCATATTCTGTTGGAAAGGCCTGTTAACAAAATGTGGTTCAATTAAATTAGGGCTACTTTGTTCCTTTCCATTCAGCACCATGCTGATTACATATTTTCATCACCACTTGATCTCATCAATCTCATAGATGGTGTGAAACAAGTTTTCACCCAAATTACACAGCCCCATCATCTGTAAGCACAGGGGCTCATCACACTTACGGTTTTAAGTCATAGTCTTTTATATTTTCACTGTCCTTGTTGAATTTTTCGAAAACTCCATGTTTAATTAAAAATAATAGTTATTGTACTCACCGCTTCTTTAATTTGATTTCCTTCTTCCAAAGTAAGGCTTGCTGTGAAATCCTAATCTGACCAATGAGCTTGCTCTCTGTCGTTTGTGATAACCTGCGTGAGTTACGTCAGTTTTTTTCTCTACCTTTTAGCCAGAAGCGAGATTTGTTCAGCGAATGGACGATCCAGTTAGCACTGTAATATTTAGCAGGCCCAAAAAAAGCAACGCTCAGAAGAGGAAGGATAGAAGAGAGCAAGATGAGTTTTCTGCTGAAATTACGACATTGGATAACTTTTTACTCTCCATGTTTTGACACATTGTGTAAGATTTGTAATGATTTGTTAATGTTTGTTGGCTGAAGCAAGCCCATTTCGGACAAGAAAAATTTGTACTTAGGCCAATCACAATTATGTTACCCTACTTGGGTCAATCCACCTAGTACACTAGTTGAGATTTCAAAGGATAAATGAAAACTTTGACCTGCTGGGGACGCTGGAGGAAATGTCAGAGTATCACATACATTCATCTTCTGGGGACCGTGAATATCTGTACCAGATGTAATGGAAATACCTTAATAGTTGTTGAGATAATTATCATGCACTTTATTTCCGATGCTGCTTTCAGGGCTAAAAACACCAACTGCATCAGGCTGAATTTTGGGAAAAATGTATAAAATGCACAGATGTGCAGCTACAGTGGGAATAAAATACTGTCTTAGCTGTGAACATTATACATCGTTAGCAGTCAGTAAGCAGCTTCAATAAAGCGCTACAACAAGCAGATAAAGAAGATTTTCGGTCTGTGATACTCAAACACAGAGCAGAAAATGTGTCTCATAAGCCACTTAATGTGAAATACAAGGGGAAAATTAGGAGTTTAAGAGTCTAATTAAAGTTTCTAGAACATTTTATGCTCCACGGTAACACGGGACTTCAAAACCCTGTGACGAATTCACAGCAAATATGGCAACAGAAGTGCTTTACTGATGCCATGCAGAATCAGATTCACAGTTTAGTGCCACTGATCATGGATTTTCACTTTTACCATCTGTAATGCTGTTGACTTGCTCTATTATGCTGTGCCAGATTCTTCATGCACTAATGTTTGGTTGTGTTGCCAAATACCGTACCATTTTCAGAGCATGGTCAGTTTCATTTTACTTTTCTGTGAATCAGTTTTGGCCCGTCACCATCCTGCCATTTCATATGAGAAAGAATAAAGGCAGTAATGATAGTGTTGTTTTGAAGGATGTGAAAAATTGCGAAAGTTGACATTTAGATGAGAGACATTAAAATCCACCTACACCAAATCTCAGCAAACATAGATGACAGTTACTTCACTGACCTTGTCGAAAAATCATGTCCTGTGGTGAATACAGCTGCCAGACGCTTTGAATTTATCCTGCATGAGAAAACTTTGACACCTATTCTCACATAAAGATATCAGAAAGAAAACCTCACATGGGAATATTGGTGAAGTTATGAGCTATAGAAGACTTAAATTAGAGATATGCATTTGCTCAAACGCCAAACAAACAAAAGAATGAATTATTTTTTTCCCTCAGTGAAGTGAAAATTTAACTTGCATATCTCGTAATTGAATTCTTTTAAATGAATTCCTCTCTGTTATAAAGGCCTTCTTTTCCCACAAAGAATGTGCTGGAAACGCCTGTGTTTAAAGGTGACAGGAGTTTGAGGAATTCTCACTGTGAAATTGGAGCTATTAGTTTGCTGTGGACACTGACTGCTTCCTTCCTACATTTCCATTAAAAATGTAGGAGTCACGCTGACACGCTCATACTGTGCAGCACAGCGCTGTGACAGTCGGGCCTGTGAATGATCTCGGAGGCTGTTTGTCTGTGAGGTTGGACGTCTGCCACATGTTTGGCGATACGAGCCCTCTGTGTAATGGGCTCTCTTGTCATTTATCAGTCTTTACCGTCATTACAGAGGAGATTAGATTTGGACGAGCATAAGGGATATGAAAATGACCTCGTCTGAGCCTGAGATATGCATCAAAGATTTATTTTTTTCAGGAAGAGATTATACAATTCTGCTTGTGCAGCACAATAACACATACTATAAACCACTGTGTATGAGTTTCGATCTGCATTTCTACATTATAAAATTCCCTTTTTAGTCAGAAAACACTGATTCCTCACCACAAGATCATGCTGAGAATCTGCCCCAAACTCATCCTGCTTCTCTCCAAAGGCTTAAAACAGTCGTGATTCTGGTTTAATCTTAATTGCCAATTTACTTCACACTAGCATTGCATCTGTTTTATGCTCTCCCCATGATACTGTACATGACGACGGTTTTGTAGCTCAGCACGACAGACAGACCGCCTGAAACAAAACACAGCTGTTTTCTGAAGATTTGCCTAAAATTGAGCCCAAGTCCGTGTGGCAGCAAAATGTTTTCTTCTGCAGACAAGACAAACTGGATTAGGATTTACAGACAACAAAAAGGAACATGAAAAGATGTTTAAAATATCTGGGAAATAACAGCTGAGCCTCGCCAATGTCATTGTACACCTCAGATGAGACTCTTTCTTTTTTAAATTAATAACAGCAGCCTGGAGAGGGTGCTCTGACGCACAAACTCATGATGAATTTCTTTCAAAAGAAGGAGAGAGAAAGCTGAGAGAGATAATGAAAAAAATGGAGCGTATGTACAAAAAGATTGTCTGCCGTTTATGATGATATAATCCTGAATAATATGATACAGTGATACAGCGTTGTTGCTCCAGCAACAGTGTTGTGTTTGGTGAAAACACAGCTTCTTCCTCAGATGCTGTTTTAGTGTTTGATCTTTAGACTGATGAACAGTGGGCAGATACATGAAAGATCTGTCATCAGTAGATGCAGGGAATACTAAACAAATTGTACTCAAAGTACTGTAGGTAAACAATTTGCTCCACCTCAACCAACCGCAACAGTAAAGGTGCAGGTTGAGTGAAAGATAAGACTGCGCTGTGGTGAATGAACACATTACACTTTGAAGACAAGCACAATAAAACATCAATATAACAATCAGAAAAATAGAAAGACTCGTTAATTCCTAACTACATTCAGTAATCTGAACATTATTAAAAACAAACAGTTCATCAATACAAGAATTTCCCAACTGGACACAGATTATTAGTGTTGGCTAACACTACATATCAACAGTTGAGAAGCTTAAACCACCTAAAAAATGACACAAAACTGTTATCAGATTATTACAATTGTTGCTGAATTATTTTCTATGTTGTTGAAGATTTATCATTTAATTGACTAATTGTTGCAACCCTGCTGTTTTGGTATTGATACTGAAATTCTGGTATTGGCAGTGATAGGCCTATTCAAACAACACATCCTAAACCAGGCAGTGAGCCAGGCAGAGCTTAATTTCTAGATGAATTGATGACAGAAAACTGAATTAATGATTTGAAAAACACCAGATATTCACTCTTTACATCTTCTCATCCATTTGCTACCTTTTGTTTCTCTTATTCCACACTGACACATCGTAAATTCTGTATCAACTCATTCCAACTTTTCATTGAAGCTATGTGATAATTGCACTTTGTGAAATATTCAAACCCAGATCTCCATATTTCAGCCTTAAAGGTTTTGTATCTTTTGAAAATCTGAGAACTTCAATAGAATTTGAAATTAGGTTCAGTGGATTTGGAGCAAAGTTTAGCTGCACAGCACAAGCTTTTACTTGTTTATACACCATTATAGGCTTCAGTTGAATACCTGTGGGTTGAATTGTTGCTAAGACAAAGACAAATAATTTGAATGCAGCTTTGTGACATTGTGATAGGTATTTTTTTTTCACTGTTTTGTGATCATTTTTGGTCAAACAGATCAGTTTCATCGTTAATGAAAATAATGTTATAGTTGCAGCCCTCCTGTTTTCTATCTGTACATGTGTTTTCATGCTAATCTGGACTCACGCAGTTGTTTTTGTCTGTGAACAGTGTTGTCTTATGTTATGATTGTTCCTTGTTGTGCTTTAGATACACTGTATATCGCTGAATGGTAGATGCATTTTTTGGATAAGATATTTGATGCCTGGGGTGATGTTGGTGGTTGACCTACAAGCTAAAACTCAATTTAAAACCTGTGTCAGTGCTGACTTGCACAGTTCCGCTATCTCCCATTAAAGATGTAGTTATAGCTTCAGGCCAGCAGAGGGCTCGTCTGAGCCACTGCTGGAATCAGCTGCTGCTCTGACCACTGTGTTCAATCTGAAATGATCCTTTTCCCCTTCGTAATTCAAGTACTACAAAGTACTAAGTACTACTTTCTTAAGCATTGTTGAATGAGGTCACAACAAATGTTCACATGCCATTGTGTGGGGTATGCTACATGCTGCACAGATGAAAGTGCACACAGTAAATGTACTGAAGAACATGTGCACAGAACGTCTCTGTGCACGTACACAACCTCTGCGAATGAACTCTGCTTCAACTCTGTTTTGGCCGTAGCAGATGCTAAACATATTTGATATCTTCATCACAGAAACATGGAGAAGAGGCAAGACTTCAGGCCTGTGACGTAATCTTGTAGAATAGATAAATGGGCTCTCAAGCGTAAGTGGCAATTACATGAGAGATCTATTTGTACCAAGCAATCAGTGGCTGAAGAAGTGGAAACTGAGAAGTCATTTTTGTTTCTCCATCATTTCTGCAAATATCAGAATCACTGGGTTTTGTTGTTAAGTGGAGCTCATCTCTTCGAAATTCAGTGTTTCGCAATCCCACAAAACAAGTTACATTTTAATTGCCATCTGATAAAATGCATTTTTTTTCCCCAAAATAAAAAACACAACTCACCAAACAAAGTTCCAAATTCTCTAAAATCAGAAAACACAGCTGCCTGAAACTACACACATTATCATTATATGAATTACACAGCCACACACAGTAGTGGGATGCTGACAGATCACTGAAACTTGGCAGAAATGAAAAGTTGATGATGAATTCAGTCATTTAAAGTTGTTAACATGCATCCATTCCTGAGGAAATTTATGATATATTGTGTTTGATATCACGTTTGTTGCTTTCTGCATCATAAAACACAAGCCTTTTAAAAAGGGTTGATATGACATTACTAAACTGTGGAACCCCACAAGCTTTTCCTATCTTAATTTTGAGTCACTATATCACAATTTTCACTTTCATCTCATTTTGATTTACTATCTCACAACTTTTCATGAGCATTTTTATGTTTTTTTTATCGTGATTATTTTTATTATTTTCCTCTTTTTATGGCCAAAATGGGCTTCTACACTTGCTTCTACAAATGTCAAGCACAATAAACTCGAAAATATTACGTTATGAAAAAAACACTTTCAAATGAAAATAGAAGGTACTCTTTTTCCACACTTTGACCATGACAAATAAATTTTACTTCTTGTTTTGTATATTTGGCATTATATAATTTGAATTTAGAATTATAACTTTTTATCCTATATTTTTTATCGACACATTTATGATTTTTCTTTTAAATCTCACATTAATGACCTATCACATAAGTTTGACTTAAGGACTTTTTATTTAATAATTTTGACTTGGCTATGATTTGGAATTAGTTTCCATAAATATTTCTCATATTTATGTCTTACTTTCTGATCATTTTTAACTTTCTATGAGCGTTTTTATGTTTTTATCATGACTAACTTTTCAAAAATGTTTTCGTCTTTTCCTGGCAGTAATTAGCTTCCATAATTTACAAATGTAGAGTGCAATAAACTACTAAAACCTTTCATCCGCACTAGTAACTGTCTTGAGAGCATGAACCATCATTTGCTAGAAAAGTACATGTCAAATGAGTAGAGAGGAACTGTAATATTTATCACACAGTGTACTGTACTGTAAGCATCCTCATACAGGCTCATTATATCAGTTTATCAGATGCAGCAGGAGTCGGGGCTCCTCCAGGGCTCTTCCAGCTCTGTGCACAGCTCAGTACAAACAACTCTTAGACAATGTGACACCGCCATTTAAGAGCATGACAAAAGAGGACCCGCGTTGCCATGTATTGCTCCCTCTGCCGGCAAAGGGTTAGGCCCTAGAACATAAAAAAGAAAAAAAAAGAAAAAGCTGAGCCTTTAAGCCAAATGTTGCAGCGATAGGAGCTGCTTACCTTTGCATTCTGGTGCATTGGATGTAAATGCCTTGCTGCTGTTGGCCCTGTGTGCTACTGTGACACTCAGCCTATAAATAAACTCTGGCGTCCTCCTGGCTATCTGAAGGTCCTTTGCACTTGCTTATACACACATGCACACACTCACCACAGGGAAACAAAAGCCCTGCTCCTGTGACTAATGAAATCTGCTGACAAGGTATCTTAGCAGGTCAACAGCTCAGACCCACGACCATGTAAAGAGAGATAACAGGAGCTCAATTAGTGACGGCAGACAAGTCCTGAGAGGTTCTCAGCTTTTATCACTGCCACAAGTTCTTCTTTTGTGAAACATTTGGGAGTTTTTTCTTCAGTAATTGTTGCAGCTTTACTGTGAGACTAAAGCAATATGGAGAGTGTCATAATGAGATGGAGCCAGACGGTGATCAGAGACACATAAGGTCAGAGCCAGGGGGGTGAGAGGCCAACAGCTGAATCTCACATTCTTCACCGTAGTCAGACAGACTGCCACATCACACCATCTGTACCTCCCTGCACTGTCAACACACACACTAACACACACGCTAACCTACCTACAGCAAGCAGAAAAAAAGTGCAAGTGTCACCCTAAATCCTGTTAGATCCTAAAACAGAAAAAGACTAAAGGAGGACAAAAATAATCTAGCTGCATCATTTGCTAAGAGCTGAAAACGTTTTCAGGACTTGTTGTAGTTCGATATCCCCTCATAAAACTACAACCGTGTCATTTTTACACCTTGGCTTTTGTTCAAATTAAAACAAATAAAGTGTAATGTGTTAATTAGTGAGCTTTAGAGAAGCTGACAGGGGGAATTCTTTACTGTTGGACAGAGCTAAAAAAAAAACCAAAAAATATCACAAAACGGTTTTTGGCGTGGTTGAGGTGGAAAAGTTGATGAACTCATTGAAGTAAAATGCAACAAAGTGCAGTGGAAACGGCCTTAGTGAACAAATAATGACATACATGTTTTGAGACTTATTATAAATCTCCACTGAAGCTTCCTCTTCCCTTAAGAGACCAAATAAAGACACATCACATCTGTGTGGAGCGATGAGGAGACTGCAATGTTACTCAAAGTAATACAAGAAACAAACATAAATGTTTCGCTTCCATCATGTTTTCTACATGATATTGACATGTTTTTAATTACACCACCTTGCTGCATCCTCTTCTGCAATGGTTTGATGACACCCAAATGGAGAATTAGTCTCACCAGCTGCTGATCTAAATGAACTCTCAATATTTGCATAATGGTAGTGGATGGAAACGCACATTAATTCTTATTTTCTTTTGTAAATTCGGTTCAATTTTCATTTTCATTTGGAAGGAAGCTAATGTTGAACTCTTTTTTCTGCATTAATCTAATGAGGTCTTTCTATGCATAATACTAGACTGATTGACTGTCACATTTGCTCCTGCCTGTGCAACATCTCATGGCTGGAAGGACTTAATTGAATGTTTAATGGCACCATGTAATGCACTAATGACTGAAGTTGAACAAAAGCCTGGTTCTTAAAAAAGCTTTCAGTTTGATGCAAGGTGCAAAATCAAGTTCTACTGGAGGACAGAACAGTTGCAAAACTGCGCACTCCACAATCGCAAGAGTAAAAAAAAAGAAAGGGTGCACATCATTAAACAATGGAGGTAAAATGTCCTTTTTTACTGTTTTTGCATGTCCGGAAAGGAAGCACAACTCTACCTACTTCAAAGCAGAGGCCACTGAGAGATTTTCTACTGATGGTTTCTCTGAGGTTTAGTTGTAAATACGACCACTGTTCCCATCTGACACCTCCAAGACTCCAGCCACTCTCCATTTGAGATGCTTCTATTTTATGCCCTGTTCAGCCTTTGTGGCCCTTAATAATGTCCACACTTCCACGGAAACTGAGATTGAAGCCATTGTGGGGCCCTCTTTGTGTCACGCCTTGCTACAGACATCTGGACTCTTCTGTTGCCCAATTTCCAGTCCTATTCAAGGGGGACAAAGGAGAGAAGGCGTCTGACCGTCCAGAAGTCACTCTCTATCATGTTGGGTCCTCGCAGCCTGACATGGAGACAATGGAGTGGAGAGAGAAGAAGCAACAACACAGAGGAACAGGTCTGGTCTGCGTTGGAGGAGGGGGAGTGAATGAAACAGAGCTCGCAACCCCCCCTGGGACCCGTGTGTGTCCGCAGCTCCCCGAGAGGAAGACCCGACCCAGCCCAGGCACCAGAGGCTCCAGTAGGGCCAGATTGTGGAGGAGTGGTTGTGAAACAACAGCTGCTTAATAAATCACCACAGAATCAGATGGTGGATTTTAAATAGCAGGAACTGCAAAGATGTTGAGTGGTGAGGACGTAGGAGCGAGTTAACGCTCTCCAGCAGAAGCAGCAACAGAAGCAGAAGCAGCAACAGCAGCGAGGACGATGATGAAACTGCAGAAGTAATGATTGTGTTGTGGGGTCGATATTGCTTTGCGGTGCAATTATCAATAAACAGCGGCCATTGTCAGTGTCGAGTGTCAGAAAGTTTATTTATGCAGCACAAAATGAGAAAAGTGTCTCAGAAGGCCTCACAGTTCTCGAATATTATATCCTTGATTCTGAGAAGGGAAATCTTCCCTCACACAGGAAGCACCAATCATTGTTTTGCTCTGTTTCTTACTGCCCTTTTTGCGCTATGACTAGATTTACACACATAACACAAGAATCACGCTGCAGACTCATGAAAACACCGTGGTGGCGGGTGCAGTGTTGAGGAGATACTATCATGGTTGTGGTTTGGTTATGAAATACTCATGACAGTTGTTGTGCTGTTTCCAGGTAACCCGACACAAGAGAGCTGAGTCGGGGGCTGGACATTGCTGAAGAGGTATGTGATATGGAAACACTCATACCTGTTTTGAGAGTTCAGAAATTTGAGTTCAGTGAAAAATGGGAAAAGTGGCCTGCTTATGAAACCCATCACAAGGACACTGGTACAACCACTTTATAAAGAGTGAGAATATCACATCTTGGGAAATAAGCTTAAAAAGAATTGCTCTTATGGTTGTAATATGAAGGAGATGTAGCCTGGCAATGTACAAAGGTGAAAAAAAAACTCGCACTCGCACATTTAACACATTTAATCTTATTTGTTTAATCTCTATAAAAACTAAAATGTAAAAATTACACATTGTGTGTTTATGCAGGTTTAGAAAAGGCTAGAATTTAATCTCCCAACCCTAAACCCAAGCCTCAAATCTATTAACAACCATAACTTTAACCTGCGTTCTCCACAAACAAGAAGTTTAAGTTTAAACCTAACCCAGTGTTTCCCAAGCGCTCTGGCTCCTGGTCTACTTGTGATGCCCCCATTGCAGATTAGGTCTTTGTATGAATTGAGAGCAGTTCAACAAAGCTGTGACTTTTCTTCTCAGATTGTTTTATTTGTTGAATTTCTTTGTCAAATGAGAAAAAAGCAAAAATTCAAGGAATAACAGACAGAACAGTTTTCCTGGTTTTGGTCTCCCAACCCCCCAATTTGGAATATTTTCCTACAAGCAAGACACCATTTTAAAGTCTTACTTCAATGGTAGATAATATCACATTTCTTTTACTTTGTGGTGTCCTTTGCCATCAGGGGTTTTGCTCAAGCAGATTTTACACTTGAACCTCTCCATAAAATAAAGAACGGATAAATAATAAGTTAAACAAATTATTGAATACCCATTCATTAAAACACTTTCAGCAACTTGCATTGATTTGTTTCAATAATTTGCAGTCTTTTTAATGAACGATTTTAAAACTCAAATTCAATTTTCCAACACTAAAATGCAAAAACATCATCCCTAAGCCAAAACTTGAGCCTCACTTTAACTCCTGTAACAGCTCCGACCCTGCTCTAATTGTAACTCTAATCCAGAAGTAACTATATAAGTTTTTATCTCATCCCACTGTCCTGTGAGGACTGAACATACACAGAGATGAAGTAAGGACACACGCAGGGCGCAGATGTCGTGTCTGTCTCTTTAAAACACTGACTCCTGGAGGTTGGCGAGGATTTGTTGCGGATAGCAGGGAGTGCGCAGCTCGGGCTCGGCATGTGCAGCGCTTCACATTCGCACAAACTGACGCTGCAACCTGCAACTGGCCGGATCTGAGTAGAGAGGGGAGAATTATTTTATTTATGACCGGGCTAAATATAGTTAAACCTCTTTTTTTGTTTTCAGCAGCAGCAGCAGCAGGACATCTCAGAAAGAAGTCTGTCTGTGTGTGTGAGAGAGAGAAAGAGAGCGAGAGCGAGAGAGAGAGAGAGAGAGAGAGAGAAAGAGAGTGTGTTTTTGCGTGTGTGGCCATGCGGGGACGAAGAAGTGATGCTGCTGAGTTTTGTTATTAGGTTTCTCCGGGGCGGTGCTGCCGCTGCTGCCGCTGATCCTGCTGCTGTCATGGGTTTCTGGGAGTGACATCAAAGTTTTTTCGGGGTGATTTTACTCGCTTGAATTATTCCAGCTGAGGCTCAAGCTCCAAACCGGCTCAGTTTACCTGCTCTCTAGTCAGATCTCGGCGCTGTTCTGTGACTGGAGGTCTGATTTTAATTGATAATCTGACACTGAGTGGACTGTCGAGAGACCGCAGACTACAGAGGATTTGACACCGGGAGAGTGTGGAGATGAACTTTGGAAATTTACTACTTGTGACTGTCTCATTCATTACCATCGCTTCAGGTAAAATATGAATATAAATATGCCTCTCTCTCTCTCTCTCTCTCTCTCTCTCTCTCTCTCTGTCTCTCTCTCTCTCTCTCTCCCTCTCTCTCACGCACACACTCATAGGACATATGGCGTGACTGCCTCACAGTGTATTTCACTTGTCTTATCGTGTTTTCTGTCCCTCCAGATGGATGTAAATGTTGTGTTTAGCTGTATTTCAGACACGTTTCCCTGGCAGCTGTGGGGAGTGAACGCATCAAAACAACACACAAAACTGATAGTAGGGAAATGTCACACGTGCATTAATTTGTAATGTTTAAATACCATCGGTGAATGCCAAGAAGATGCACATTTCCTCAGTCAGATCTAAAGGTGGCCCCACGTTAGGCAGCAGAAGAGGTCAAACGAGGCTTCACTGTGGCAAAAGTGAAACCATTAAACTCTTACTTAAAGCTCAGAAACTCTCAGGGGCTGTGTCATAGTCTGACAAGCCCCCACTCTCCAAAAATGTTTATGGAGATGCACATGTTATTACAAAATGCTTTTAAAAGCTCATTGTTGATTACCTTTGAGAACGGGATTACACATTTTAACCATTGCTCTAATAACAGTTTAAATTTTCAAACCATAATCCAAAGCCCAAATAAAAGCATGGCTCAGAAAAACAATTTATGGAGTGCAGATTGTTTTTTTTTGTTTGTTTTTTGCATTCTCAGATTAATTGACACAACTTTAACATGAAAAAATTCAGTACATTGTAGTTGGTGATGCATTTAAGGTCTGAATGGTGTGCTTCAGTATAGCACAATAAATTGAACATGCAGTACAGATGCTGATATTTCAGAGTTTTAAAAATCTGAAAACAATAGCCTATATACATTTTTTTTTTTACACAAACACAACATACTCAACATTTTGGGTTAAATGTGCCCTGTAGAGTTTTTGAGCACTTTTTTCTGAGTGCATTTTGTTTCTATAATACATGTGCATGAGTGTATGGTGGTGTGACTTATGTCGCACTGGTGGTTCTGCTCATGCTACCGCTAATTGAGAGTTGGTAGGATTAACATGCCAACAAAGGCAGTAAAGAAGGAGAGGACTAGCAAGTAAACACAATATAAGTTACAAAATAGTATATATTATTAAAAAGTTGATATGGCTAACTTGCCTGTCTATATATCCAGCAAACCATTAGCATTCATTTGGAGTCGTGTTTCTGGATATCTGGCAAATGTAAGTCCAATATTCAATCTCTTTTTAGCTTTTTTTTTGTCTCCACCAAATCCCGGGTGAATTATCTGACTCTTTAGCTGCTAAATGCTCTGCTATATTCACGACCGACATGGTGACATTATCTGTCTGCTAATTTGTGCTGGGCAGGCGGCGTAGAGTGAGTTTTTAGAGCTGTGAGAGTGAACCAAAACATTAAGGCTGGTGGGAGGAAAACCAAAACAATGAGCCCAAAGATGGTAAAATGCCTGATAAAGCTGAGCGGTACTTTCTCTGTGTGATCGTCACTCTACGAGAGACACCTGTCACATAGAAGTAGAAGTAGTAATCCATTGATAATATGAAAATATTGATTATAGCATCTTAAAGAATTGATATGTGTTGAGCTCGACATTTTACAGTTGAAAAATAAACTTATTTTATGTTACACATTTCTGCACTGCAATTTCCTGTTAGTCAGCAAGCGTATTCACTAATACCAACACATCTGCAGTAAACTATACTGGTCCAGCCAAGTAACTGGTCTTCTTCTTCAATGAGAAACATTTTTTTCACTATACTTCCTGAGCTCTGACTCCTCCTGGACAGGGTATATTGGAATGAAATGGACATGGAAATATTGTAATGTATTTTGATTGTTATATTGAACATTAGTGTAAATCGAACCCTATTATAATTTGAAATGTGTTGGGAACACTGGACTGAAATGAGTGAAATTAATTATTTTAATGTATTTCGATTATTGCACTGAATACTAGAATGAAAAAGGATTGTAGTATGAGTTTTGATGCGTTGGAATAACTGGAGTGAAAAGCGCTATTTTCATGTATTTTGATTACGTTTGAATGCCAGTGTGAAACAGACCATAGTATGGTTTGAAATGTGTTGGTACACTGACATCAAACAAACTGTTTCATATATTCTGATTATTGAATTAATAGGAGCTTGTCTTGTCTGTGTGTGTGTGTGTGTGTGTGTGTGTGTGTCTGTGTGTGTGTGTGTGTGTGTGTGTGTGTGTGTGTGCGTGCTGTTGTCTTTGTCCTGTTTTCTTACAATGTTATGTGTTACGTTGTATTGGTTGCACTGTCACTATGTAAAGTCTGTTTTTATGGACCCCAGGAAGAATCGCTGCTGCAAAGCTGTAGCTACTAGATTAAACCAAACTAAACCTCTCGATGTTAAAGGTACTTTTCAACACCCACACCATCTGCCTACATCTGTTTATCTGGAGTGAGTACTTCCTCTCATTCCCACCTCGATTATACAGCTCAATCTCGGGGGTGATGTGCCTTTTCATAAAAATACTTGAGAGAAGAGGATT